TATATAATTAAAATTATAAAAAATGTTTCAGTTTTCAGTAATTAAATAATTATATTAATAATTTCTTTATTTTTAATATAAAATTCATGGTTAAATAGCTAAATTAAACGGAAACATTTTGATTTTGAAATAATGATAATTTAAAATAAAATTAATTATTCGCAAAAATTTAATAATTATATAAAACAAATTAATAAAAAGTAATGATATATTAATACTATTTAATAAAATTATTTTTGTTTTTCAAAATAAATTATATAATTAATTATGTTTTTTTATTTATATAAAATAATAGTTATATAATTATTGTAATTTAAATAGAATAACTTTATCATTTAATTTAAATGAATTATTTTTTGAAAAATAAAATATTGTATTATTATTTAATAATCATAATTTTTATATTATAATATTTTTTATTTCATTCAATTAATTTTTATATTATAAAAATAATTATAAATCTTATTTTAATCAGGTTATATTTTGATGTTTAATTATTTTTATAAATAATATAAATATATTTTATTTAATAAATATTATTGATCATATTTTTTATATAACTGTATATTTCTTAAACATAGTTTTTTTATCTGAATATTTAACTAATTATTCACATATAGCTTGTCTTAATCCTAAATTAAATTGCCTTTTAAGAAAATAAATTGATCATAAAAATATAAATTGAAAAGTACATTAATTAACTGAATTCCTTTATTCATTACCTTAAATAATCAGTTAGTTTTTATTTAATTCTATTCGAACAATAAATATAAATGAATTTACTAAATAAATAACAAAATATATAGTTAAATTAAATTTATTTATTTAAATTTAATATGTTGATATTTTCAAAAAAAATTATTTAGTATAAACAAAATTATTTTAATTATATTTAAACTGAATATTCAAATTTATTTTAATAAAAAATTTTATTAAAAAAATAAATATTTTCAATAAAATAAATATAAAATTAAAATAAACAATTAATGATATTTTTAAAAGTAAAATAAATAAATCTAATATTATTAAATTTCATTTTCATATTTTTATTAATTATTTATTTAATTAATGTTATATAATCATTATTTTAAACTCAAATAAAAACTCTTTTTAATATTACTTTTATGTAATAAGTATTCAAATTCTAACAATAAATAAATAGTATTTTTTATTTATTAAAAAAAAAAATTGTATTTATTATAAAATTAGTTAATAATTGAATATAATAAATATATATATATAAAGTAAAAAAAAGTTAATTTTTAATTGTACAAATTCTTATAATGCAAACATTAGACCCTATTAATTTATAAGACTAGCAATAAAATTAAATTAAATCTTAATTTTAAGGTGCGCTATATTGTATTAATTAAAAAAACTAAAGAATTAATAATTTATTAAATAATTAAAGTTTGAGCTAAATAATAAAAAAATAAAATATAATAATAAACAAAAGCTAAAAAAATAAAACATATTTAATAAATGATTTGAAGAAACTTCAAAAAAATTTAGACTCATAAACAACAACTGTAGATTCAGTTGTAAATAAAAAATAAAATGATAATAAATATATAAATAAATATAATAGTAAAAAAATAGTATAGAAAAATAATAGGTATCACCTTTTAATGAAGTGTTATATTAAAAAGTTTAATAAAAAGGAAAAACGAAAAACTAAAACATTAAAAATATTAAAGAAATCAATTTTTTTTTTGATAACTTTGATTAGATGATTAAAGTTTAGTATTCTTATAGTAAATAAATCAATCAGCAAGAAAACAAAGAATAATGTAATAAAGTATTATTTGATTATTTTGAAAATATTTGCTAAATTGAAAATTCAATAAAATAATCATAAAACACCCATTTTAGAAATAAAAGTATTACAATAAATGCAAGTTTTTCTTAAAATAATAGATAATAAACGGTCAAATAAAATATAAATTTTATTGAAAAATTAAAATATAGTTAACAGCAAATATTTATTCCTCAATAAAAAAAGAGTTATTTTCCTTTACCAGTAAAAATGATACCAAAAAATATTTCAATTTAAAAATAACATTCCCAAAAAGCAAAAGGAAATATAATATAAAATTCTCGTATTTTTTATAAAACTGAACATTAAGATGAAAGTTAATTAAAATAAATAAAAAACACATCAAGATAGACAAATATAAATTAAAAACAATAATTATAATATCAAGTTATTTTTAATAATTCTAAATTAAAGAATTTAATTAATAAAATATTATTTATAATAAGACATAAATAGTGAATAAAAAAAAGTCTCATTCATTTGTTAAAAACTGAAGAAAATAAAATAAATAATATTTTTTTATATTTGTATATTTATGATTTTTATTAAATAAAATAAATACATTTTTAAAAAAATTCATATTTTATTATAACATACATAAATATTTATAGATAATTATTATATCATCTATATTATTAATAAAATTTTAAAGAAGGTGTAATACCACTAAATACACTTGTTTAAAAGTCATATGTTTAATTTGTTTTATGATATATATTATTAGTAGTTGATTTATTTAGTTATGAAAAATCATAGGAAAATTATTGAGGTTATTTATTATTTTATATTAGTAATTATGATTTATTATTTCTTTCTTTTTCTAAAATAAAATTTCGACAAGATTATTGTTAAAAAAAATTGTATTTTTGTTAAATTTATTAAATAAATTATTTATTTTATTCAATAAGACTTTTATCTTTTATTTTTTTATCCAAGTTATTAAATTAATTTTATTCATTAAATTAAAACATTTTATAAGAATTTAATTTAATATTTGAAAAATCATAACTTTTTGAATTAAAATAGTTTTAACTAAACTCATTTTTATTATAAACATTATTCTATTAACAAAATTCACCATTTTCTTGAAAATCATGTAAATAATTTTGCATATTTAGCTAATTTATACTCGAATTCTAATCTAAATTTTAGTTAAAAGATTATTAACTTAATTTTTTTCTAATTTTTTTAATCTAATGTATTTGATCTAGTTATTTTTTATTTTTTACAAAAGTCTTCTTTATTTTCTTATTAAATAATTTTATTTAAATTACATTCCTATTTTTAAATAGTAATTAAACTCGTTTAACTTTACTGATTGATTTTAAATCCGTTTTTTTGGGGGCTAAAAGACGGAGTTTATACAAAGTTAGGACTTGAATTATCAGAATTTTTAACTTCAGATTCATTTTATTTATTAGTTTCAAATTAAAAATTTTTATTAGTTTCTTTTTATTAACTAGATTCTCCTATTAAATGTTTCAAACATTCTTAGAAAGGAGAATTAATTTATTAGTTATTTAATTTTATTTAATTTTAATAGTTTTTTGTGTTAATTAGATTCTCTAAATGATTATTAAGAATACTAATGCTTTTTTGCTTTTCTTAAATATTTTATTAATTTAATAATTCATTTATAGTAGATTAATTTTTTATATTATTATTAACGTTAAGTAATTAAACTTATTAATTATTTTTAGAATTTTCAATAAAAGAATTTTCCAAAATAATTTCTTTTTTAAACTTTTATTAAAATTAATCTTATTTTTTTTGATAATTGGAATTTTCAGTATATCTAAAACTATCTAAATTTTCTGGATTATTAAGTTGATGGATACTAGCATATTTTTTCTGTAAAAGAGAAGAAGAATTAGTTTATTATTTATCATCTAATAATTTTAAAATCCAATCTAATATTTTTATCAAATCCCCTTCTTTTCTTTATGCATTATGATTTCCATCTACATATTAAATCTGTTTGGGTCCATTATATCTATTAAATAATTATTCAGTATTTTCACATTTAATGAAAGTATCTTCTTTAGAACAAAGAAAATAGCAAGGAATGTGCAAATTATGTATGATTTTTGTTAAATCAATATTTTTTATATCCAATCCATACTTTTATTTAATTTTATCACTTATAAAACTCAAAATAGTTTCAATTATTAAAATAGGCATTCCATTTTTTAAATTTGCAACTTCTTATGCCAAAAAGTTTAAGTTTGCAAATCCACTATCAAATATTACTCCCTTTATATTTCGCATAGTTCCTGGTTTATTCAAATATAAAAAAGATGCTACAGCACCCATACTTTTTATTTTTTATTGCATTTTTTTTAAAATAAATTATTACCTGCGTCCCCATAATATTAAATTATCTATTTTTTTTTAATCTTTCAAATATTTTACAATTATTTCTAAATCTTCACTCTCATTTTTGCCCAAAGTTACATACTCTCCTTCTGAAATCCCACTTCCAGAAAAGTCAAAACAAAATAATCCTATTCCTTTCGAAATTAATTAAGGCAATATTTACAAAGCTTCTATTCTTGAACCAGAATTACAATGACAATAAATAACACAACTATTATCTGGAGATTCTTTATTTTTTATGATTAATTAAGGTTCAAATAAAGAACATTCTAATTTTAAATTCTATTTGTTATTTAATGTAATATCTTATCTTTTGAATTTATATTATCCATGAAATTGAATATTTACTCCTATTTATATAAAAATACATATAATGTATTTATTTTAATGTTTGTAATATATTTATCTATAATTATACTATATAATATTTTGAAACTACCTAAATCTTGCTAATTATATTAATGACGAACTGGTCTTATAAACAATTAATACAATTAATTAAATTGATTCATATAAAATAATATAAATTATATATTTTATTTTAAAATTTGAAATTATTGTAATTGTTTCTTTTTATTAAAAAAATTAAAAATAAATTTAAGAATAATTAAGTTATAATGAAAATAAATAAATTTGAAAAAAATATTTTTTTAATCTTTCATTTTATTTGTTTTGATTATTTAAAAAAAAAATGAAATTATATATATTTTAATTTTTGTATTTTGCAAATTTTGAAAATTAAAAAAAAATTATAATTTTTACTTTTTATCTTTTTAATAAATAAAAAATAATTTTGTATTATAATTTTTGTTATTATTTTTCTTATTTTAACTTTATTTTGTAATTTTTAATGCATTATTTCTTATTTAATATATATTTTTTTTTTTTTTTATAAAAAAATATTTATTTTTCGCGAAAAAAAAAAAATTAATTAATTTAAATAAAACTATTTATAAATTTTAGACAATTTATTTATATTTCAAATTTAATTTTATTATAATTAATTAATATATATAATTATTAATTTAAAAAGAAATATAATTAATCTTTCAGATAAATAAGATAAATGTTATAAATATTAGCTTAGTCTGAAATTTAATATAAAAAATATATATGTATTTTTTTTAATAAATAATTTAATATTATAATATAGTTTTTTTAAAAATTAAATCTTTAATAATAAAATATTTAATTTGTTTAATCATAAAACATTTGAATTTTATTATTACAGTCATTTTTATATCTCTATAAAATATATATATTAAGTTTGATTTAATAAATATATAAAATACAAACTTTTTCATGATGAATTTAAATTAAGAATTTTTAGAGATTAAAATGAGTAATTTATTTAATTTTTAAAAAATTGTATAAATAATTTAACTAAATATATATTGTTTATATTAAAAAAAAAATATAGTTATTTAATGCTTAAATTAATATTTTTATTTATTTAACACAAACAAAATTATTTAAGAAAGATTTAAAAATTTAATTATAACATTTAAATAAAGTTTTATATAATTTGTATTTTGTTATTTTAAATTTTCCTTAATTTTTATGATATTTTAAAAATATTTTAAAATATAAAGTTGTATATTATTTTTATTTATTATACAATATTTAAATCTATTAATAATATTATTTTGAAAATGTATTATTATTAAATTAAAATTCATATGTAAATATATTAAATATATATATATTTTTTATTATATATAATAAATAATGTTATAAATTGTTTATTAATTTAATTATTTATATGATTGAATATATTATAAAATTTATATTAAAAGATATATTTATTAAATAATATAATAGAATAGAATAGTTTTTTAATTTTAATTTTTTTAATATATGTTTTTAAATATTTATCTCATTCAATCAACACATTTCCTTTCACAAACTCTAATAAAAGGATAAAATATACCAAATCTCTTGCTTTTTTTGAATTTATTAGGAAACATTTTTTTTAATTAAGAATAGAATTTTGATGACGGAAAAATCTACTATTTCATACAGAACCAACAAAAACATTCTTTTTCTTCGAATAGATGATCTGTTTTTGAATTGCAGTTTAAAAATTTTTTAAATCGTTCATTATTAAATATTTAATCTTTTTTTTATACATTAGGATATTATATTTATAAATGTCTAAGCTATTATTTGAGTTATAACTCTTTAGTATTAAATTAATTAAATAATTAAACTAATATTAGCAAAATTAGAAATAATTATTTCATTTTTTTGCTTTTTTTTATTATTTCTTTTATTTTTTATTATTTTTAATTAAATTTTATGGATTATTAAAAAGATTATAAATTTATCTTTACATATATTTTTAATTAATAATAATACAAATAGTTCGTTTTATAATACATGTCTATAAAAATCTATCTTATAAAATTATTAGAAATAATATAATAAATGAATAGAAAATATAAATTGTAAATGTTCATTAATAAAATATAATATTACATAAATTAATCTTTTTCCATTATATAAAATGAATTTATAGACAAAAATATTATTTAAAATAAAGATTAAAAGAATTTTTTATTTAATATTTTAAATTTTTATATTTTTATTATTTTTGAATTTTTATCCAATTTAAAATTATTTAAATCAATAGTATTAAGATTTTTAAAAATATAAATTACTATTTTTCTCTAAATTAATTATACATTTTGATATAATTTGTTTAATATTTTTAATCGCATATATATATATTATCTTAATATCTAATATTTTAATTTTTAATATTCTGTATATAGGCTTTTTAATTTAATAATTTTTAATATATAATATAAAAAAAGTATTCTAAAAATCTAAAAATGCTTTTTTTTAATTTTAAATTTAAATAATTTATGAAAAAATATATATTCTTGATAAAATTAGTTTTAAGACTTTACAAAATATTTTAATTTTATTTTAAAAATTATTATGAACAATTTTCTATTAACTAATTTTAATATAATTTTTATCTCTTATTTATTAAAAGTTAAAATTTTATATTACTTATTTAAAAGCCTTTTATTTTTAATTATTAATGTTTTATTTCTGTTAATTCAAAATTAATATTTGTAGAATTTTATATTCTTATTATAGTGTTATTAATTCATATTTTTACTTATTTATTAATTTTAAATATTATTTTATTAATAATTTTTTTAATGCTATTTTTAATATTCAAAATAAATTATGCCTTTACTGTCATTATAAACTTATTATTTTTTACAAATCTTCATATTCTAAAATAAGCTTATTTAAATTATTTCTGGAGTTTTATAAAAAGATGGAGCTTTTAATGATTATGTAATAATATTTTTTTTTTTATCTTTTTATAATTTTTTAAGAATTCTTCTTTATACTTTATTTTTCTTTTTATTGTTTCATTTTAAATAAAAACAATTAATAATACTTAAAAAGCAAGATGTAATATTATTAATTAATTTTATTTAGTTATAAATATATATTTGGAGAGAATAATTAACTATCATATTATTAATTCATTCATTTTTATAATTTATAATTTAAATTTATGTTTTTATATTAATTTTTTTGTAATAAGAAATAAAGTATATGAATTAAAAAAAATAAAAAATATCTAAACTATATTTTTATTTTTTTTAAAAGCAAGCGATTAAATTAATTATAAATAATTTTTTTTTCTTAAAATATTTATTATTTTTGTAATTTAAAAATACTTAGTTTTAAATTACTAATTCCCAATACATTATTTTAAATTTTAAATTTTATTATTGTTATATTGATATTTTATATTTACTTAAATATTAATAAGAAAACTAAAGTTTATTTGTTTTTAGATAACAAATTCTTTAATATAAAAAATTTAAACTTATATACTTATTATTATTAAAACTTAAATTAATGTTTAAGTAATCTTCTCAAAAATTATTTTGATTTACCAAAGCTTATATTTTTCACTTTTTCAATAAATATATTTTGAATAGAAATTAAATTATTTATATTTTCTAATATTCTAATTTAGATATTAAAAATAAAATAAGAACTTTTGTAATTGTACTAATTTTTACTTAAATCTAATATACATTATTTATTTAGAGAATAATATTATAATCTTAAAAATTTTAATTTTAAAAATCAATTTAATACCATAATAAAATATCGTTTTTTATATAATAAGCACTTGCATTTTTTTTGTTTTTCATAAAAATAATAATTAATATCATAAAAGTACTAAAATTTTATTTAAATAGAAAGAAAATATTGTGTAAATTTTTACATAAAATAATAATAATTATTAATCATAATACTATTTAATTTTTAATATACATTTGATTTAAATATAATTTTATTTTTTAAAAACTTGCAAAACCATATTTTTTATAAAAATAAAATAATATTATTTATATGTATGTTTTTTCAAAAAAATAAAATAATGTCATTCCCCAATAAATACACAAAATACATTATACAAATATCTATGTCTTTTTAAAGTTAGCTATTATAATTTCTATTAATTTTAATAAATAATTATATTATTTTTAAATTATTATAGAGTAGAATTAAATATTATTTTAATTTAATTAAAATGGAAATTGATTGATTTTTTTATTATTGACATAATATTTTATTAATTTAGTTTTTATTAAAACAAATAAAATTGATAAAATAATATAAATTTAACAAAACTTATTAATATTATAAATTACATTCATTTTTGATTTATAAAAAATAAATATAAAGTTTTATATTCATGATAAGAAATCTAATAATTAGCATTCTTTTTTTAAGTAAAAAGTAAATAATTAGGAATTCTTCCAATTGTTCCTCTAATATCATCTTTTAATTTTAAAATTAAAATTAATTAATAAAGAAATAAAGAAATAATGAAATATAATTTTTTTTTACAGCTTCCAGGCCCTGGTTCATAAAAATTTTTTGTAGTAATAAACCTATCACTAACAGTATTACTGAATTTATTACTATTGAGTTTTCCTTATATATTATATGATCCTGGTCCTGTATTTTAGAATTAAGAGTTAATTGGATTACTTCTAGATGCAGAAGTCATGCCATATTTAGGCATAGAAGTTGTCACATAGCCTATATTAGCATCATATCTTTTTTATTAATTAATATTTTATATAATAAAAATTCTTTAATTACGCTCCTGGACCTGGATTATCTGCCTTATCTATTTTTTATACTTTTAATGCAATTTTCCACTTTTATTAATTTTTTTTATATTTACTGTATATGATATTTATTTTACTTTTGGTCCTTCTCCAATTTTTTAAGGATGATTATCTATATATATTATTAAAAAATAAATTATTTATTGTTTTATACATTATCCCGGTCCTGGTACATTAGTTTTACTATGGAGTGGAGGTCTTTCTCCAATTCCAATTCTATATTTTAATTTTAAAATATATTTTATTTACACTAAATTTAATTTAATATAATAAATAATTAAAAAACGTTGGATTATATATTTCTGATTTTGTTGATAATGGTATAGGAAAATAAAAATTAGGTCCTGGCTTTTTTAAGCTTTCTTTATCAACTATATCAAGTTTTTATTCTTTTCCTATTTTTATTCCTGAACGAGATTTAGCGAACTGACCATTATAAGCTTTATTATTTATTCATTATTAAGAATTTAAAAAATTGTAAAAATTTGTACCTCCAGGTCCGGGAACATCGGTTTCATATTATTTTAGTGAATCGTAAAGTCTTTATCCAAGTGTAAAACCTGTGTTTTACTATTTAGTCTATTTAGGATCAAACGCGCCTATAAAAACTTAATTTTAAAAATAAAAAATAATAAACCTGGTCCAGGGTTATTAGATATTTAATTCCATCTTCTTTAACTTCTAGGAAATCTTTTTTATTAAAAAAGAAATATAATTAAAAAAAAAGGTATATATAATATTACTTAAAAGAAGGTCCTGTAGAAGGTTTTATTTTTTCTGATTTATATTCTCCTGGTCCTGGACCTATATCTACTTTAGTTTTCATTCTTTGAGTACTGCCGAATCCATTTTTACTTTTTAATATTTAACAAAATTAAAAAAAATATTTTTAAATATCAAGTAAAATAAATAAATAAATAAAATATACACTGAGGTAACAGATTTTCCTTATTGATTTTTATAAGTAGAAAATTATTTGCTTAATTAATAAGGAAAATCAGGTTCTTCCCTTGGATAAGTATTAGGAGCAGGATTTTCATTAACTTTTTCAGTATTAAATTTATACCCAAAGGTATAACTTGGTTAAAATAAACTTGAACTTTATGAACCTGGATTGGGATTATATTAAGTTGGGCAAACATATGTTTTATAATCCCCTTATTTAAGTTTTGAGCCAAATTTATAGGCTATTTTACCATCTATCTGTAAATTATTTAAAAATAAATATATATTTTATTTCTAAAATTTTTATTTTAACTTAATTGAATTTAGCTTTATATTGACCTGGTCCTGGCACTCCATTTTCATAATTAATAATACGAGTACTTTAGCTAATTTTAGGTTTTAATATATATTCACGATCTTCATAAATACTCTTGTTTTCCTTAATTCCTTTTAAAACTCTTTAAATTTTTATTTTTTTTTAATTTATATAATTATTATTTTTAACTTTTTCTTTATTGATTTAGGAGGCTATTCAAATTAATTTGGATTTCCATAACTTCCTGGTCCTGGAAATTTAAAAGTTTCTGAATTAAATAATTTCGCTATTTAATTTTTTTAATTTTGAGGCTTTAAATTAATAAAAATGTTATTTTATACATCTCTAAGATGTTCCTAAAGAATAAGCACCATTAAATTCTAAAGACATTTTAATTTTTTATATTTTATTTTGAATTATAAATAAAATAAATATTATGTTTTTTTTTTAAAAAAAAAAATTAAAAATTAAGAAACATATTATATAAAATAAATATATTAAAAAAGTTATAATATATATTAAAAGCAATATGTCTTATAAAAAATAAAATAAAAATATATATTAAATAATAAAAATATAATAACGGTCAACTAATATAGACAAACGAAACAATATAATTATCCATTAAATATTTATTTAATGTTCATATTTTTTATACTTGATTTTTTTCTCTTTACATATTAAAAATTTCACTTTCTTCATATTACTCTTAAAGCTATTCAGTTTCTTGTTAATTTGTTTTTTAATTTTCTAAGTTATTAAAATTATATAAACTTTAAATATCTTATGTTTTTTTATTAACAAAAGATTAAATAAAATCAGTCAAAAGTTAACATAAAATATTTTTCATTTCTTCATTTAAAGAATAAATTTTGGAAAAATTAAAAGCTAATAATTCTGGATCATCTCCTTTATAAACTAAAATATAACTTTTTTTACCTTTTTAATAGTTTATTTCTATATTTCCAAGTATTTCCCTATTTTTATTTTCTTTGCTCTTCTATAAATCAAATGAAAAAGGAATTGCCTAAGTTGTTTTTTACATATTTTAAGAAATATACATTCTCTACCTTTCAAAAAAAGTTTCTTTTTGATTTTAAGCTTCTCTAGCTTTATTCATCCTATCCATTTATTCTTTTGCTCCTTTAATTATTTATACTGAAGTATTTTTATCAAAATTTAATTAATAATTTATTTGTGGTTTAAAAGAACATTCTTTTATTTCTTTTTCTCTTCTAATATTTTCTAAGTTTTATTTCGCATTTTAAATTTACTCCTAATTTTAAATATATTTATTATGTAATTTTGAATATACAGAAGTTTTAAAAAATTAATTATTATTTATTATTTTTTGACTATTAACATTTATTTAAGGCTTAAAAGTATAAATTAATTGATTTTGTTTTTCTGCTTTTTCTTAAACTTCTTTTTTTTTATTTTCTATTTTTTTTGATTCTTCATAAAGCATTTCGAATCTTTCAAAATTAATTTTTTGTTCGAATGTGTTTTTTGATTTATTTATTTTCTCAGACTTGATTTTTTATTTTTCTTAATTTTTTAAATCGCCTAAAATATCTTTTCTAGAATTCCTATACCATTCCATTAAATTAGTCTTATCATCATTCAATTTTCTGAAATTTTATATTAATTTTTCTAAATTCCAGTTTTATTATTCTAATAAATCTTTAATTAAAAAATAATTATTATTTTTAAAATATATATAAAAAAAAACCTCCATTGTAATTAATATTTTCCATTAAAAATTTATTAACAAATTATAGTTTTTCAATATTTTAAATTTATAAGTTTCCTTTGAAATATTCTTATTTTGACAAATATTCATAAAATATATCACTTAATAAACTTTCAGCCTAATTTATACTCATTTTATTTTCAAAAAACACTAAAAGTGAACAAAACATAACTTTTTTGCAGACTCCATGTTAATTATCTAAACTTAAAACTCTAAAACCTTATTCATGAAAATTCATTTCTTTTTACAATCTATTCAGATCTATATTACTTTTTTCTTTAATAATAAGAGAAGTTTATTCAGATTGTTCTTTTTTAAATTATAAATTTTTAAAGATACCAAGATTTTAAAATAAAAGACCGAAATTTGCAAAATCAATGTATTCTGGCTCGTTTATTGATTAAATAATTTAAAATAAAGCCTTTTCTAATTTTTTTTTACAATTTTTTAACTCTTTTAAATTATTTTTGATTTCTGTATGTTTTCAGTAATTTTGTTTTCAATATTTATTCTTTTCTCATTTTCTTTTGTTTTTCTATCCAAAAAATCTTAATATAAATATTTTATTGGGTAATCTTTGTCTTTATTTGTCCTCTTAGCTATTTTTTAGGAATTCTTATTTATTTAAGGATGAAAAGTTAAGTTCTTTTATAAAATATTTCTATTAATGATAATTTCAGACTTATTTAATTAAATTTTCCTTTAACTCGTTTATTAAAATATATTTTTTTATTAATTTTCATTATTAATGCTATTTAAGTTATCAATATTATTAAATTATTATTATGTATGCTGTAATAAGAATTCGTTTTATCTTAAATTTCTGATTCTTGTTAATAAAATTGTTTTTAAACATTCAATTTACTTTATAATTATTATAAAACAACATTATCTGTGCAACTAAACATGTTTTCCTAAGGATTTTATTATTATATTTATTATTACATAAATTATTATTCGCTTAAGTTTTATATTTTATTCATATTTGTTTTATATACTATCTATATTTTTTTGTTTTTATTTATTTTTAATAATTATAATAAAATTTTAATTAACATAAACGAAAAAATAATTTTAATTATTTTATTTTATATATTTATAATATATTTTATTGTTAATAAGACCATTATTAATATATTTTATAATTAATTTAATATAGTATATAAAATAAAATATTACAAATTTATTAATAGAAAAAATAAAATTTATTTATTTTTAAAGTTACTAAAAATAAAATTATTTAAAATATTTTAAAATATAATCATAAATAAATAGTACTTACTATTTTTAAGCTTGTTTAACCATTTAAAATATAATAAAATTCTTTAAATAATATTCTTAAAAAAATTAATTTAAAATTATTTAATTATGAATTAAACAATTATATAAATTAAATATATTTTTTATTAATAAAAAGGGATAATTTATATATAAAAAAAATTAAATTATAATAATAAAAATAATATATATTTATAAATATATTATTTTGTAAAATTCTTATTATTTTCTATTGTATATTTTATATATAAAAAATAAAAGTACAATTTATAAAAAATTATTAGTAAATAAATTTGAAAATATTAAATAATTTAAAAAATTCAAAATATTACATTAATTTATAGACTTATTTAATTTTTATAAATATTTTAATTAAAAAATAAAAAAACTTTAATTTTCAATTTATTTATTTATTTTGTTTTAAAAATTAATTTATAGTTATATTTATAAATTGTAATATAAAAAATTTGTTTATAATAATTATAAAATAAAAATTTATATTAAAATTAAAAGTTTATAATTTAAATGATTATATAATTTTAATAATAAAATCATATTGTTTATGATAATAAATATTAATAGTTAAATTACATAATTTATGATAATTATTAATTTTAAAGCAAAAATTATTTTTTTAAAATAGTCCAAATTATCTTTAAACATGTAAATTTATATTAAAATTATAACTTAAAACATATACATATCTATTGTAAAAAAAATATATTTAATTATATAATTGTCTATAATTAGTTTATTTACTCATAAAATTAATTAAAGTTATTTAATTTTTTTTCAAATTATCAATATATAATTTTTTATAAAAAGATGTAAATTTAAATATGCTTTATTTATAAGACGAATTACTTGATTAATTATATAAATCAAATAACTTATAAACAATTTAAACTAATAAAAAATTTAAAATTCTACGAATCTAAATCCATTAAAAATTCCGAATATTTAATAATAGATATTTGGTAATCTTCTCTCCTAATCTTATTTTTAACAAAAAAATAATAATAAATTTCAGCCATAATAAAATAAAAGTGAAGATTATGGTTTAAAAAATGAACTAAATTCTTATTTTAACAAAAGTTATCACCAAAAATTTAATATTTTTTTTAAAAAGGAGACTAAAATTAAAAAATTAAAATTTAAAAGAATCGTTAAAAGTTCTTAGTAATAAAACTTTTATATTAATTTTTAAAATTCAATTAATATAAATAAATTTATCAAATAACTTCTAAAACCAAAATTATAAGACAATAAAAGTCTTGAAATAATTAAGTTTTAGCTGAATCAGATAAAAAACAAAAATAAAGGGGTTTAACTTATTAATTAAATAAAACAATTATAAATTTTTAAAAAATAAGTATATATATTCTATATTAAAATAAAATGCGTTTTTTTTATAAAGGATTTTTATGTTCTTAATCATATTTTAGCAAAAATATGAATTAAAAATTATCAGAAAAGTTTGTATTCCATCCTGAATTCTAATTAGAAACTGTTATTTTTTATGATTTCTAAAATTTTAAATAGTTTAAAGTTTATTATGTGCATAATAATTATTTAAATCTTATTAGCAGATTTAAAGATTTAAAATAAAATTAAACAAATAAAAAAGATTATAAAATAAAACTATTAATTAATTTGATTTTTTAATTATTATTTAAAATTTAAGTTTTAATTTAAAAAATAAAAAAAATATATTACTTTATAATATAATTTCAAAATATGATTTATTTAAGTAAAATAAAAGTACTTTTGAAATTAAATAATATGGATTTATAAAAGGCGATAAAATCTTAGTAATTTTTTATAGTCATGAGAATATAAATATATTATTAAAAATTAAAAACTTTTATACATTAAATAAATAATTAAAAACTCTGTAAAATTTAATTATTTTTATATATTAAGCACAACCATTTTTTAATTTAAGTAAAATAATATAATTTTTTCAAATTATTTAAAATAATTTTAATTTTAATTATAAAAAAAAAAAAAAATTATAAACAAAATACTTTAAAACAATTAATAAAAATTATTAAATATTTTTATATAAAAATAAAAATAGTATTCATATTATAAAATATAAGCTTATAATTTAAAAAATTTAAATAAAAAAAAGATTTTACAATAAACATTTTTTTTTATTTTAATACATTATTTAATAACTATAAAAATATAAAATTAAAAATCATCATAATCATTATTATTAGGTTTATTATTATTATTATTAATCTTATTATTATTAGGATACATTTTCTTAAGCGGTTCTAATTTCTTTATCATTATCGTCTCTCTTGGGTTCATTAATAACAACATTATCAGGAATAGGAGTTCTAACACCGAATTTACCAGTGGGGTCATATGGTAACATAATTTTTACTTTTACTCCCATGATTCCTTATTTGAAAAAGACGTGTCTGACAGCAACATCGACGTAGTCCTTTCTGGGTTGACCAGTACAGATCATATAACCTTATTTGAATTTCATGGTTTTAGCTCTTTATTATTATAATTTTCCGGAGATAATGACTTCACAACCTTTAGCTCCATCATTAATAACTTATCTTATAATGTAGTTAGCAGCTAATCTAACTGGGACGTCCTTTAATAATTTATAGTTCAAAGCTTCGACTTAAGCAGAGGCACAAAGACCTTTGTTTTTTACGGGTTCAGCAAGGATTTATAATTAGTCATTAGCATATCCGAATCTTTTTTATAAGAAGTAGGTAAGTTCTTTGTGTTTCTTTCCTTCTAAACCGATAACATGTTAAGGCTTGGTGGCTTTAATTCTGATTTCAATTTTCATAGGGGTTCTACGGACTTCAATTCCAGCATAACCGGCATCTTAGAGAGATTTAGAGAAGAAGCAATGTAATTCAGCATTGAAAACACCATCTGCAACGAACTATTTTTTAAAAAAATTATATTATTTTCCTATTTTTTATTTTTACTTTCTTCTTCTTATTAATTTATTTAACTTATTTTTCCATTTTTAATTTATTTAATTTTAATTTTTTTTTTTTAATTATTATAAAATTATTTTTTCCTCTGCCTTTATTATTTTATATTTTTTTTTAATTTTTTTTTATTTTAAATTTATACCTTTGTTATTTTGTATTTAGAAAAAAATTGAATTTTTTATGTAAATTTATAAAAAAATTATTTATAGAATTACTTATATATAAGTCTATACAAAAAACCATCGAATTACATTTAAAGAACAAAAATTATTTTTAAGTTAACAAATAAAATCTAATTATAAAAATAAAAAAATTATATTTTTATATAAAATTTAAAAAAATATTTAATAAATAAATTATTGCTTTAATCAATAATAATTATAATTATATATAAATTTAAAATATTTATAATAAAATAAATACTTTTTTTAGCTTCTATTATTTTAAATTTATTGATTTTTATCTAATATTTTTTTAAAAAAATTTAAAACAAATATGATATTATAATATAAACTTTTAACTATTTTAAATATTTAAAATATTGATTCTTATAAATTCTGATAAAAATTAAATTCTTTATATTTTATGCAGTATTATCTATATTATATTAAATATAAAATTTCTTTTAATTATTATTATTTCTAAATTAAATTTAAAAATATTAATTTTATGAAATAAATTTTAATAAAATATTAAATAAAGATTATTTATAAAATATAAATAAATTAAATAACTAAGTATAATTCAAAATAATTAAAATTTAATCTACTAAATAAATATAAATAATTAATATGAATATTTTATAATTATAAAAATATTACTTCAATTTAATTTGCTTTTTATTATTTTATTAAATTTTAATTTTTAATTAATTATATATATATATTTAAGTTTTATTTTATTGTTTGCTAAAAAATATAAATTTTATTTTTTCTATAAAATTAAATAATATTCTTTTATTAATAGCTACAATAAATGATTTTAGCTTATATATTTACTTAATTCTATTTTAAGACTTTTAAAAGTAAAAAAAATAATTTATATAAATAAATAACTAATTATTAAATTGAAAAAAAAAAATATATATATAATGTTAAATAGAGCAGCATAGCAAACTTTAATTGTTAAAAATTCAAAATAATTTAAAATATCTACACGTATAATGGGTTAACATAATAAAACTAAATGGATAAACTATTATCCAGAGCAAGATTCTTTAAATTCCTCGTCATCTTCTTTTAATATTTGGGAAGAAGAAGACTAATAGTTATATGAAGCTAAATATAATCCTTTAATATCTTAAGATAAGTGTTTAAATTTTTTACAATTATTTTATTTAAGAAGTTAATTATATTAAAATGAGAATTAATGCTAGAAAAATATAACGAGAAATTTTTAAGATTTATATATGTTATGTGGTAAGTAAATAGGTAAAGAAACATTAGAAAGTAAAATAGAGCTTTTAAATAAAAAACATAAACACATTATAGACAATCTTAAAAAACATAAATAGATTAAATAAAAAGATCTTTTAAATAATAATGATAATAAAAATAAGGTTAATAATATTAAATTTAATAATACAATTTTCAATAGAATAATTAATACTTAGAATGATAATATTAAATAAAATAATAGTCATGTTTAAAAGATAATTAAAAATAAATATAATTTGTTTAAAATTAGTAATTGTAAATAAAAAATCGATTTAAGTATTTAAAAAAAAAAAATTTGAATAAAAAAATACATTATTATATCTAAATACTGATTAATTAATTCAAAAATTAAAAAACTTAATATATTTAAAAATTTAACTTGTTTTATATATTATATATTTTAATACATTATAATTATTTTAGCTTAGTAAAGTAAATAATTAATTTATTCGATAAAAAATAATATATATACATAAATAATTTAATTATTATATAATTAAGATTATTTTCTTTGTATTTTTAGTATTTGATTTATATACAAATTTTTTTAAATAGCTATTAATATTATCTTCAGCAAAAAAATTTCCTTAAATTTTCCAAACTACATTTTTATAAAATAACTACTAATAAATATTTTATTTTATTATTATTTTTTTTGTTTGATAAAAAAATAACTTTATTAAATATTTTAATAAATAAAATACATTAAAAATAAAAAACTATTAAATTCAACAATAAAAAAAAGTATTATTATAAAGTTTTTTTAATAAAGTAATGGCTTTCGTATATTTATCACAAAAAACAAATTCTTTTTTAAATTCTTAAATTAATTCAAACACTGGTCCCGGAACTTATAATATCCGTAATGGATATAGTATTAAGAAATCATATGCAGGATTTGGATCTACTGAAGAACGTTAAAAAAATATCAAAGAATAGTAAATTACTCCAGGTCCAGGTCAATATTAAACGGATATAACTTAATTAAATAACCTTAAAGAGTTATAAAATGAAAAAGTAAAATCATTATAAATCAAAAAGCCTTCTTAATATTTTAATTGCACATCTAAAAGGTAAATTTAAATTAATTAAATATATCTGAAAATTATGAATAAAAATTATTAAAGATTTGAAGAAAACTCGATTAAATAAAAAGAGCTTATTCCAGGCCCAGGATTTTATGATTTTGACATTAATTATTTATAATAGAATAAAATATAAGAAAACAATAAATAAAGTTAAAAAATAGATATCATAGATCATTTAATGAAATTAAATAGATATTAAGTTGCTCCTTCTATTCCTTCAAAAGCAAATACTTATGGATATTCTGAAAACGAAAGTAAAAAATAAAAAAAAAAACAAATATTTTTATAAAGACGGTGAATTATCACTTAATAAGTTACCTATGCATTTATACAATGGAGATTAAATAGATTCTGTAATTTTAATTTACTTTTATTAAATAATAATATAAATAAGGTTGGACCAGGATATTATAATCCTGATGATACTATGTTAAGGCATAATCAATAAGGAACATAATGGCATAAATATTAATCAAGAACAATTGGAATTTTAAGAGACTCAGCAAATAATAACATAGGACCAGGTTCATATAATGCTTAGGTAAAATAAATTCCTTTGTATAAATTAAAATAAAGCCCAGCTTTTGCAAACAAATAAGCCAAATCTTTAACAAAATAGAAATCTGTTTAAAGCCTAAAAACTTAATCAAGTTTAAAATATGAGAAGGAAAATAAAGAAAATAGCGAAGTATTTTAAGAAATTATAATATAAGTATATTTTATTTTTTTTATAAATAAGGAAATAAATCCAGGACCAGGACATTATTTTAATTAAGAATACAAAATATAAACAAAAGCATAAAAGTTTCAAAACTTTGGATCATTTACTCCTAGTAGGTTTAATCAAAACGAAATTTTTCAAAATAGAGTAGGTCCTGGATAATATAATCCTGTTATTAAAGGATTATTTGAAGTAAAGCAGCCTTTATAAGTAAAATAATTATTAATATATATTTTTATATAAAATTAAAAGGTGTAAAAAATAAAATAACCTCCTTTTTTATCATCAAACTCACGCTTTGAAGTAAAATAAATTTAAGAACTAAGACCAAGTCCTGGATAATATTAAATAAATAAGAATGTTTAAATATATAAAAAATAAAAAAAATTTATAAGATAAAAAAAAAAAAGCTTTCAGATAAAATAATTGAAAATCTTTAGAAAGGATACAAAGGAAATTTTGGTACGAAAGATAAAAGATTTAAAAATAAAATAGAGGTAAATATTATAAAAATAATATATATATATGTATATATATATATATATATATATATATATATATATATAGGAAATACCTGGTCCAGGATCTTATATAGAACCATTTAAAGAATAAATATAATAAAACGCTTAATCAGCTGTTTTCAAATCTAATTTAGATAGATAAATAATATTTTAAAATCCCAAAGGTTGTTTTTTTTTATTAATTATTATTAATATATTTTTAAAAATTAAGAATAAAAACCTCCTATTGGAGCATATAAATTAGATTATTACGATATTTAGCATAAATTATTAAATATTTAGAATGTTGATCCCGAAATAAAACCAATTATCCCTAATTTAGGATTTGGGTGTTAAGAAATAAGATTCAAATAAAACAATATTATAGATGAAATTTATGAAGAAGAAGATGAATAATAAAATTATAAAAGCATTGATTAAAAAACTAAAAATAAAAAAGAAAGAAATACTTTACCTTAGGCTTAAAGATTTAATAATAAAAAGGAGCCAGAAGGTCCTGCTCCTGGAGATTATAATAATAATGGATTAAGTTGGAATAAAAGAACTTATAATGTTCATTTTGCAGCTTTTTGAAACAAAACAAAAATATATAAAAATTTTAAAAGATATATTTTATTTAACAAAAAAAATATTTAAAATTTTTTTTTTAATTGATATATTGATATATTGATATATTAGTTTTTTTTTAAAAAAAAGTTAAGTTTTTTGTTTTTTTAATTTTATTTTGCTTTAAACAGCTTCTTATACCCCTAATATTTATAAAATTATTTTTATTAATAAAAAAAAATAGTTTATTAATGAATAATATAAATAATAATATAAACAAAAAAATGTATAAGAAGAAGTGTTTATTTTATTAAGTAAAAAATTTTATATCAAGAGAATATTTATATTTAAAAAGCAGCTAAAAATTTTTAAATAAACTTCCTTCTAAATCATATAGTATTACACTTGCAAAAGTTAAAATATAACAAATTATTTTTAATAAATTTTGCTGATAAGTCAAAAAAAAGCAATTCCAATAAAATTAATAAAATAATTATTGCAAAAAAATTTTAAAAATAAATATAAAATAGACTAAAAAAAGCAAGTATTATGTAAGAAATAAAATGAATTTTATAATACAAATATACAATTAATTTATTTATATAAAATAATGAAATGTATGACTTAATTTAAGAGCTAATCTAATAAATAAAATAAATTTTAATGAAAAAACATCAATTAAATAATTACTTAAATTAATTAATCTTTATAATTGAATATACTGAAAAAGAAACAAAACAAGTAAATATAAGAAAATTATAAAATAACAAATATATTGAGTAACTAAAAAATAAATTTTATAATAGTTAATAAATTTAATCGATATTTTATGAAAATATAAACTAAGCTAATAAATTAAATGAAACAAAATGATAAGAAGAATGTAAAGCTTAATAATAATATGATAGAAAAATAAAATATAAAATTAATTCTTAAAATTACAATAAAATATAAAATAACTAAAATTATCCAAGAAATAATAAACAAATAATTAAAAAAACTTTATACTCAAAATAATAATTTTAATAATGTATTAATACTATTATACTTTTCAAAACAAACATTTTAAAATGAAAACAAAAAAATAAATAGATAAATAAACATAAAATTAATAAGTAAATATAAATATTATTAATAATAAAGAATAATTAAAAATTTATAAAATAATCATCATTTAACAAAAAAAATAAAATGTATATGTTTTATGGAAATGAAAATGGAAATGCAAATGAAAAAGAAATATAAAAAAATAAAAATATATATATAAAAAAAAAAAAAAAAATATAAATAATTATTACAAAAAATATATTAATAATAATATTTAGAAACTAAATTTTTTAAAAAACAAAGAAATAATTATAATAATATTAATAATTAATAAAAAAATTCTTAAAATGTTAAACAAAATAACATTATAAATACAATAAATAATAATAATAAAAATAATAATAATAAAAATAATAATAATAAAATAATAATAATAATAATAATAATTATTATTATTATTCATAAGATTTTATTTTTATTTTTTGAACCAGGAGGCCTTCCTCTTCTTTTTAATTATCCAAAATAATTTTAATTACTAATGTTTATTTAAACATTTTTATTACTTTGTTAAATATCTTCCTAAAAATTCAATTATTCTAATTATTAATTTTATTATTATTAATATTATCTAATATTTTATTTTTTTAAACACTAATCAATATGTCTATTTACTTATGAAAAGTTAAATTTTGTATCTATTTAATTTCCACAAATAGGGCATGTAAATTAATTTTGTATAAAATCTTTTTTATTCAATAAAGACATAAATTCATTATTTTATTTATTCAAATTGCTTTATTAAGAAGATTCTTATATTTCGAAATTACTTTATATTTTTTTTTCATTTTCTATTTCGTTTTCTTCTTTTACTGGTGTCATATGAATATTTTAATTTGTTTTTGCTATTTTAATATTTTCTTTATTATTATTTATTAAACTAACTATTTGTTTATTTTGTTTTTGATTTTTTTCTGTTTATATTTCTTCAAAATCAAATAAAAGAATCTATATTTTTAAATAAATTTATTCTTTATTATATATCTATAGAAGCATATTTTAACATTCTTGGGTAAAATCTAAATAATACTACTGATTATTTTCTAATTCTCTTTTTGTTTACAACATATTATAATCTATTTTTATTAACTAAACTTTAGTACTTTTTGCAATTTTTTAATAATAAATTAAATCTTTGCAAATACATTAACATATTTCTTCTAGACTTTCTTATATTTATTTTAAATTCTAATTTTGTAAATCTAAAAATTTATTTATTTTTAATATTTCAATTTAATTTTCTTGAAGATGGTATGCTTTTTTTTTTATTAATTTTTTGTTTTTATAATTAAAAAAATAAATACCTCTTCCTATTCCTTCAGTTATTTTCATTAAATCTTTAATTATAAATTCTTAAAAATAATCAAATAAAATAATAGCTTCTTTTTCTAATTACCAAATAAAAGTAATCAAAATACTCTTAAGTTATTTTTTTATTGTATTTGTTATTAAAGGGACATATTCTATATCAAGTTTTTCTATATCGTTTTTATTTTCGAAATACATTATTTGCTCATTATTATATTGTGTACAAGCTAAATGAGATGTTAATATGTTATTTCCTATTCCAATTTATATTTATAAGTTAAAAAGAGTTTCCATTTTTAACTTTATTTATTTTGCTAAAGCTTTTAAGTCTAATACATTGTTTTCTTAAATATAATTAGTTATATCTAAATAAATTTATACGGAGTTACTTTATGTGATTTCAAGATTTTAGTCAAATGTTTTTAAATACTTAATTATATTCTGAGGATTTTTCTATGTTTAAACTATAAAATTAATGGCAATCCATTTTCTATGGCTTATTTTTTCTTATATTATTTGTTATTTTATTTCATTTAACTTATGTTAATTTATACTTTTAGAAATATTCAAATATTAATTTAGGAATTTTTATTCTTTTATATTATGTTGAATTAATTTTTACATATTTTTTTTTTTCGCGATATTTTATATAAATATATTTTTAAAATATTTTTTATTCAGATAAATATAAAGCTAAGTTTGCGCCTTTTATTATATTTTTTTTAACATAAATTTTTAATAAAAAACTAATATAATAGAAAAGTTATTTTCTTTTTAATTTTTTTTTATTATGATTATATAAATAATTTTTAGGTAGAATATAAAAATTATAAAAATAATTTATAAGGTAATTATAAATGCAAATTAATATATTCTTAAAAAAATAAAAAATACATATTTTATATATTTCTTAATATATTATTTATAAATAATATTTTTATAAATAATAATCTTTTTAGAAAAAATAAAATAAAAAATATATGTATTTTATTAAAACAAAAAAAATAGTTCATTTGCATTTTTTATAATCAAAAATTTATATATATAATTTCAAAGTAAAATTAATAAATAAAAAATGTAATTAATAAAATAAAAGCTAATTAACACATTTTAATACATAAAAAATAAATTCACATTACCTTTATAATATTTGATTAAATATTTAATAGAAAAATACTTTAAAATATATATAAAAAATTAAAACTTAGATTTTAGTAAATTTTATAAAGAAGGTCTTAAAAATATTTCATTAAATGAAGAATTAATAAACTAATCTTTTTTCCAAAATAATCCTTTTAAAGTAAAATCTATAGAAATCAAAAGCATTAATTTTCGCATAAATTGGGAAAAAATACTTGAAAGTAAAGGACATATAGATATCTAACATTTAAAAATAGAATTAATTTAAAATGAATATTATGTGCCTTAGGAATTAGAAGAAGAATTTGAATAAAGTTTTGAAAAATCATTAAAAGAATCTGTAAAATAATCATTAAGTACTTGTGGAAATTTAAATAATAATGAAGAGAACTTAAATACTTATAATATATTGGTAAAAAAAATAATAAAAAGTTTGAAATTTTAAATTAAAAATATAAATATAATAACAACTTTTTAAAAAATTAAACAAAAAATAAACATTAACTTATAACTTTTAACAATTACATAAAATATAGAGAAATTATCAAATGCTTAATTCGAATATAACTAACTTTTCTCGAATATAGATTTAAAAATACACGGACTTAGTATATACTTAAGTAATGAATAAAGAAAAGTAAATAAAATATAGATTTACTTATATTAAAAATATTATTATTATTATTTTTTTTTTAAAAAAAAGAATATTTATTAATAATAATGTATATTATGTTGTGCTTATGATTATGATTAAGGAATTTAATTTAATTAATATTTGCCAAGAAATTTGATAAGAATTAATTTTAATAGAAATCATAATTTTAACATGTTAATGCCTATTATAGAAATAATGTTAGATAATAATTAATTAAAAGATTTACATTAAATAATGAATCAAATAAAAGAAATATAATTATAAAAAAGTAATATTATGATTAATTAATAAAAAGTAACAAAAGAGAAAAAAAATGAAGAATAATAATTAAATGAAGATATTTTACATAAGTCATCAGAAGAAAACGAAACAAATAAATTTTACGAAAGCTAATTATGCCAATTATTATAAGACGAAATAAAATAAGAAGATCATGATGAAGAAGAAGAATAAATAGAAAAGTTTTAATAAAAATTAAAAGATCAAGAAGAAAGTATTTTTGAATTTAATGATATCTTAGAAGAATAAAAAAACAAATATGAAAATAAAATTCATTGTCCTCAAATAGTCATATACATATTATAGAATAATTCATAAGAATAAAGGATTTGGCTTTATGCTTAAGAATAAGGCGATTTAAGATAAAAAAATAAAAAGTTTCATACTTTAATGCAATAGAGTCTATATTAAATAAAAATTAATAAAATATAAATCCTTTATATCAAAAAATAAAATTTGTAATTATTTTTTGATAAGTTATAAATCTAATATATCGAGTATTTAGATAAATAATATAATATTTTTTTATTACTGAAACTTTGTTAAAATATTATGCTAAATACTAGCAATATTATATAGAAAAAAGAACATAATTATATATACTATAAAAATATGATAAAACACAACTAAAATAATGATAAAGAAAATTAAAAAAAAAGCTTTAATTTTTTATTTTGTTTTAAAAACTAATAAACAATTTTCGAAATTATGAATATTTATGGAAATTTAGATGATAAATTGTTAAATTTTTATAGTATTTTTAAAGAGTATTTCTTTCAAAGTAATATTAATAAAAAACACAACAATAACTTTTAAATAAATATTTAAAAAATTTTCTTATGGGCTTTTTTTTGTAAAGAAAAATAAGAATTTACATCTTTTTTAACAAATTTGAATTACTTTTAAATTTTTATTAAAAACTTTTTAAACATTCGAAAATTAAATTCAGAATAAGAAATATTTTTTAATTCTTTAACCCTTAAAAAGTTTAACTAAAAAAAAAAATCAAACAGTATATTCTTAATATATGTTTTAGTGAAAATAATAAAACTTTTCCATGCTTAATATTCGATTTTCAATTTAAAAATTCGCCAAAAATCAAAGAGAACGATAATTAAAATAAAAATTAAGGAATTTATTTTAAATCTGATAATTTATTAATTTTAAATATTGATAGCCTTTAAAAACATAATTATTAAATTAATCCAAAAGAAAAAGAAGAAGAATAAAGGGAATAAATAAAAGAACAAGAAAAAAACTAACAAATTAACGGATTTACATTATTAACTATTCCAGAAATAAAATTAAATATAAAAAAACGTAAAATAGTTTCCTATATAGCAAAAATAAAAGGAATAAAATATCTTTTCTAAAAATCTGGACTTTTATAATATTTTCAATAGAAAGAAAAAAACTAAGAAGTAAAAGAATTTTAAGTTTTTGTCTAAAAAGGATAAATAAGTTATCATATAAACGAAAAAGCATAAAAATCTTTAATTTTCGATATAAAGAATTTAGTTTTTAACCATAATCAACATTTATAAATATATGAATTATTATTAATAGATAATTAATAAGAAAAACCATTGTTTGGATAGCCTTTGATATTAGTAAAAAATTTAGAAGTATAATAGAAATATTAAGGATATAATGTATAAGATATAATATTATATAAATAAGAAAAATATGTGAATAATTTTGAAACAAAAATAAGATATTCAAAAGAAATATATGAAATAAGCAATATGGTAAATATAAATAATAATAATTTTAATTATTAATATAAGAGTTATTTAATATAAGAAAATGATAATGATTATATGATAAATATAGATATTAATAAAAATATATTTGAATTTTTTGGATTCATATTCAAATTTGTAGATTTTAAGCATAATTTTATATAAGAAATTAATTATTTAAAAGAAATAATAACTCTTCATTTCGGAAATATGGAAAAAAATAATGAAAAAGTCCAACCAAAGCAATAAAAAATAATTCTTAGAAACTTCCTGATAGATTTTTTTCTTTATTATGATGAAAAGTATATTAAATTATATTAAGGATTGAAAACAATGAATTTCGAACCTGATATAATTGATGAATAACTCCTTTCTGAAAATAAATATTATTCAAACACAAGATTATGTATGTTAGTACCTTAATTTATATTATAAGAAAATACAGATTTTTCAAAAGAAGTAAATATTTCTTAATTGACTTTTTACTTTTTAAAATTTGATGATTTCATTGAAAATATAAATCCGATTTTGCTCATTGATAATGAAGAAAGTATTGCTTTGAATACTTAGCAAAGTATTTTACACTAAATGGGTTTTAAAATTATAGGAAACGTAGGAAATATAAGGATTTTAAGTTCTCTAAAAGAAGATTTAGAAGTATTTATTGGAAATGGGAATTAAATATTTTTCTGTAAAGATTCTTTAGAATATATATTAAATTTTATGGATTTAGTAGATTATCATATAAAGAAAGATGAATAAACAAAAGAAATATAAATAAATAGAAAATAAAGCAATAATTATAATAATTTATAAACAAATAGAAAATTACAAGAAAATATAGACGAAGATTTAAACATTGTTAAAATTTAAAATTACGATTTGGAAAGTAAAAAAATAAATTTGAAAGAAAAAAATAAAGTCTTTATTTAAATTAATGACTTTAAAATTTTCCTTTTTAAAGGATATGATTTTAAATTCGAAAATATTTAAAGATACCTGCCTTATAATTCTTGTAATTAAGAAAATACTTATCTATAATAAAAATAAAATTAAAATAATTAAAATTAAATATAAATTAATTAGTAACCATTAATTAGTATAATAAATAATTACTAACCATAAAATAAAAACATAAATTTAAATAAAACACTATATAGACCTTAATGTCCTAAAGAAAGTAGAGATTGCTAAAATAGCATTTAAATCTATATAAAAAATGCACTTTATGACAATAAAATTTACAACTCTTAATAAATAATAAACGCTTTAAATATTAAAATTTAAGAATTCGAAATAATAGATGATTTAAAGCAATCTACAATAAAAAAATTCTTACAAAAAAAATAAAATAATTAAACAGACATAAAACAATAAGATGTATTCTTTTTTGAATTTGAAGCCAATATTTTAGAAAAAGAAAGCTAAAAAATAACTTTTGAAGGTTTTTTAAACATAATTCCTTTTAAATTTTTTATACATGGAATCGCATTCGATTTTCTTTTGGAATTTTTCGAACTAAAAGATATTTTAAATAAAGAAAAAAACCAAAATATAAACATTTCCTTAGATGAAGGAGAAGAATAAGATGAATGGAATATAGTAACTTGTATTAATGAATCTAATATATTCTAATCAAAACAATTCAATACTGAAAATACGCGAATAAGTAAATAATTTAACCAAAGTTCACAATAAATAAAATAAAGTAGTCCATTTAGAAATGTAAGAAATAAATATTCGGATAATTAAAATAAAAATAATATTAAATAATAATAATAATAATAATAATAATAATAATTAATAATAATTAATAATTCGATACACAAAATAAATAATAATATTAAACAATGAATGAATAAGAAGAGAAAAAAGAAGAAATAGTAAATATGAAATATATAATCAACATAAAAAATTTCTATGTAAATGAAAGCGAATTTCAACTAGATTATGACTCAAGAGCTTTAGATATTTTCTCCCTTTTAAATGATTATAAGACTGAAATTTTAAATATAAGCTCTATTACAGGATTGAATTTTAAGCTTGCTGCTTTAAACTTTAATTAGAAATAATATGGATCTATAAGTGAAATTTTATGCCTTATTTTGGCCAATTATAAAGAAGATATTATGAAAAATCAGTTCAATTATCTTGATATGGCTAAAAATATTAATCTTGTAGCTAATGCTTAAAAGGTTTTTGTAGGAATTTATAATTTATTTGCTATTCCTTTATAAAAATGCTAGTAAGGAGAAAATTTCATTGATGGAACTATTTAAGGAAGTGAAGTGTTTGCTAGATTATTATCAGCGAAAACCTTCGATTTTATTTCTTAGATTGGAAACACTTTATAAGTTATTGGAATTAATAATAGGAAAACTGATTATATTAAAAATATTCTATTTTCAATGAGAAATAATGTAGGAAATAAATTCTTAGAAGATTAAGTATATGAAAAATATAAAAATTAATATAAATGATTTTTTTTAAAAAAAAAAACATTATAAATAATAAATATATATATATAAATATTTTAATTTTTTTATGTAATTTATTATACTTTTTTAAATATAATAAATCTAATTTATATATGTTTTTTTATTTTAAAAAATAAATAAAGTTTAAAAAACTTGATTAATAGTATTTTTTCGTTTAAATATAAATGTATAATGTATATCTTGTTTATATATATATATATATATATTAAAATAAAATATTTTTTTAAAATTATCAAATAGTTTATTTTACTTTTGTCTTTTATATATTAATAAAAAAATAAAATAGAAATAATTTTACATTTTCTTATCTAAAAAAATATTTAATCATATAATTTATTTATTCATATATATTTTTTTATTCTTATTTTTTTTTTTTTTTTATATCATCAAAAATCTAACTAAGCAGCGAGCAAATCATCAACATTATTCTTTTGCTTTTAAGGTTAATTTTATTATTGATTATACTACATTTACTATTATTATTATTATTGTTATTATTGTTGAGCCTTATTAACCTAAGGGATACCATTAAGTTAGTTTTATATTTATTATTCTTATTCTTAAGCAAGTTCTCTTTCTAAAGCTTGCATATCATCAGCTATTTCATCCTCGTTATCATTCATACCTGCCATTTACTATATTAAAATTAATAAATTTTTTATAATTTATAATAAATAAATATATATATAATATACCTCAAACAAATTATCTGTTTATTATTAATCTTATTATATTTCCTAAAAATCACCCATGATGTCCTAAAGTTCATCTTATACATTATATTTTTTAAGGATATTAACAGCAGCACCTAAAGAACTATATTTTTATTTAAATAAAAATAAAATATATAAATTTTAAATAATATACCTAGCTGCAGATTTATTATCCATTCCTAATTCTAATTACATTCTAACTTTAACAAAAGCTTATTTCTATTTTCAGTATTTGTAATGAATTTTTCTATTTCTTTAATTTCCTTTAATTTGAAAACAGCATTTTTCTTCTTGCCTTAATTAATAAGTTATTTAGCCTCGTTTCTTAATTTTTCAATCTTTATTGTTTGTTTCTCGAGTGATTATTCGAACTAATCTTCCTACACTCTTAGATCACGTAAGGCTTTCTCGAATTGTATTTTATCTAGTTCTTCATTACTTTAAACGGGTTTTGAGGAGGAGGAGCTTATTAAGCTTTTTTGTCATCTCCTCCACCGAAAAGTTTTTTGAACATATTTTTTTTTTTAATTTAATTTAATTTTTGTTTTTTTTTGATTTTATAAAATATGAATCTATTAATTATTATATATTATTTTTTAATAATATATGCAATATATGATAGGAAAAAAAAAATTTATAAAAAGAGATTATAATTTTATATTTAATAATATTGAATATTATTCTTTACTTTAATATATTATTTTATATATAAAAAAATATTTAATTGTTTTTATTTTTCTATTTCACACAAAAAAAATAATTTATTTATGCTTTTTTTATTTTTAATTTAATAAAAAAATATATTGTAAATTTTTTTTTTTAGATTATGAGTTTTCGCTAAATATTATTTTATACATATTATTAGAAAAAACAAGAATAGATATTAATTGTATTTTTTTTAAATATAAATAAATAAAATTAATAAAGAAAAAGTACATATATGATTAAGTATTATATTAAGAATTAAATGTATTAATATTTGTAATAAGAGTAACAAAAGCAAATGATAGCAAATATATAAATATATATTTTTATAAATATATATATATATATATATATATTATATATAATAATTTATATATTTTTTATATCATCATTCTTTTTTTTTACTATTAATTTATTTTTAACAATATTTCATTTATTTTATATTTTATTCTTTTTTAAATTTCTAAAGTATCCAACCATATCAAAAATTTATTAATTTAATTAAAAAAAATTATTTTAAAATAAATATTATAACAATAAATATTTTTAATTTTATATTATCAAAAGTCATTATTAATATATACTAAAATTTAAATTAAATTTAAAATTTTTATTAATATATATAAATAACCATGTCTTAAATTCCGAATTTCATAATAAGATCTCCGAAGTCTGCATGTTTAAAAACTTAAGGTTTTCTTTTTTTGTAAATAAAAAATAAATAATAAAATTATATGAAATTAAATTTAATATAAATATTTTAAAGAAAAAGAATAATCTTAATAAATATTTTAACCATAAAACAATGATTTTATTGAGTTAATTCCATAAACATGTAAATTCGTAGGCTATGAAATAAACAAATTAAACATACAAAGGATCTAATTAAAAAATAAAACTGATAAAACAATTAAAATATATATATTGCCTAGTAGCAACTAATTATTTTCAACAAAATTTAATAAAAAGGGCATAATTCATTAAAAATAAATAGAAGATTTATTTATTTATTTTAATCCCTCTGAATATAAGTATAAAAAATATAAAAAACAAAAAAAATTAAAATAAAAAGATGCTATTTTCATTCAATAAAAATAAAACTAGAAGATTAAATAATAGCTTTCCCAATAATTGCTTATCCAGTAATAGATCGGGAATAAACACATGAAATATTTCCTTCAAACATTGATTTTGGTTAAATATATATAAATGAAAAATAAATACAAGTAATAATAAAAAAAAAAAAATTAAAAATAAAATAAAAAAAAGCGAATTCCAATAAGATGTAAAGTTCCTGTAAATTTCGATTTTGAATTTGTTTCAGTTTAAAAATCAGAATGTATAAACATAGACCCTAAAAAGGGTGTAATATTAGGAAATAGTTATATAGACATAGAATTATTTTTCTGTCCTTTTGAACCAATAAATTATTAAGCAATATATGAATTAAAAACTTCCTAATATGAATTCGAACATATAAAAGTTACAATAACCGGTTAAGGAGTTTTATAAAGAAATTTGCGTTCAACAATATAAGTTATTGAAAAAAAATAAAACGAAGTAATAGAAGAAGAAGAAGGAAATTAAAATTAAATATTGAAAAAACGTCAAAAGTAGAAAAGAATAACTATGATAAATAACTTAATAGAAGAAATACCTTAATAATAATAATTAACTTAATATAAATAATAATAAAATACAAAATAGAAATTATAATATATAAATAACCCAACACAATAATAAATGTCCTAAACTGAATTTAATAAAAGCTAAATATATCATTAATAGCCGCCTTCACTTTCTAATATATAGGAAGAAGATCCAAAAAAGTTCAATGTAATAAAAAAAGTAGGCCGAAAATTCAAAAAATAAACTGAATTTGAAAATTAAATGTTATTTTTATCTAAAGATAATTTAAATTTGAGAAATATTTCGAATCTTCTTTTGTAAAAATAAATAGATCCTGGTAGACATTCTAAAGAGAAATATTTTTTGGCAGTTTTTAATAACGTGAATTAATTAGATTAATAAAAATAAACAAGATTTTTTTAATGTATTGGAGATAAATAAATACAAGAAGATACAATATATGAAGTAAGGAACTAAAGAGTAGAATTTTAAAACAAGAAATTTAAAATGCTAGAATTTTAAGGAATTAACAGATTTGAGGTTTAATTCGATAAAGACGCCCCTATAATAGAATAAATAGTTCCTAATTTTGACTGCAAATGGGATTTTAGTAAAAACGATCCGTAAAAAAGAAAAAAAATAATCACAAAAAGAATGCTTTATGCCATTTCTAAGGTAATACTGCGAATGAGATTAGAAGAAAACTTACAAGCGATAAAAAACCTGATTCAATAAATCAAAAATAAGCACGAATAGGAATTAAAAAACCTCTCTAAGGAAAAGCACGGGGCTTATTTACGAGAATGCGTTTAAAAACTTGTAAATGAAGATTGGTAGAAAGCCGAATATACCAATCTAAACAAAAAAAACCTTCCAAAATGTGAACTTGAATTCGAATTCGAAGAACATAATATTACCAGAACATTCTACCCCATCCAATATGAAAACTCGAATAATTTCTCCAATTTTAAATATGAAGTTAATCCCAGAACAGGTTTTGATGATTATGCTTTAATTGAAAATATATGTCAATGTGATTCTGAAGTAATGGGATATAGAAGTATTTTTTTTTTTCTAAAGAATTTAATTATATATTAATATATATATACTTTTTTTAAAAAAAGATTGGGAAGTTCCTCCTATAATACATTATCCTCCTGTCGAAGAATAAAGAGCATATAGAACATGTTGTGAAGAAGAATATAGTTTTAGGGGCAAAACAGGTACTTAGAGAAAATTAGAAAAGGAAAAAGTTTAAATAATGCCTAAAAGTTTTATTTGGAAACTAGATATGCCATCCCATATATTGAATTGTGAACAGGAAGGTATCCGATAATATTAAGAAATTGAGAGTGTGACAGAAATAAATCCAAGTTACTATTTATATCCTGAATAATTAAGTACTTAGGATGAATTAGATCCTATAGAAAAAGAGAAAAACGAAATTATTATCTAACATGAGTTTTTGAGTAAATTGCCAGGACTTAATAGTGGAAATATACTCGCGTTTTTGCCTATAGAGAGGAATTACTATTATTTAAATCGTTTAGAACTACCCTTTGATTGCGGAAATGTGTAGAATGTAGGAAAATACTGCACAGGGGTGAAAAATAAGCCAGATTATGAGGATTTTATAAATGATGAAGAAAAAGAAATTCTTTAAAATCTTAAATATACTACTTCCGCAGCTTAAAAATATGATGTGTCTAAAGGAGATAATTTTTAGACTTTTATTAAATGTCTAGAAGAGGATGACGAAGATTTTTCGAAGTTTAAATAGAGTTAATTAGAAGATGTTAGAGATGAACTCAAAGAAACTGAAAAGAAAATCGTAAATGGATTAAGAATTGAGAAAATTAAATGGATTGCAACATTACCATCTAAAACCAGTGAGTATAATAGATTTATTAATGAAAATTCGAATAGATTATGTATTTTATGATTATTTTTTTATTTTATTTTTATTTTAAAGAAAAGAAAAAAAATTACTTTATCTAATTTATTTTTTATTTAAATATTAAAATCATTCATTTATATTAATTTTTTATAAATTATTATCATTTTCATATGAATAATATAAATGAATATAAATCATTTTTTTTTATTTCTTTTTAATAAATAATTATTTAAGTTATTTTATTATTATTTAGTATTTTTTATTATTTACAAACAATTATTTTTATATATTTATATCTTTATTAATAAAATTATAAAAAATAATTTATTATTTTAATATCAAGCCCCAAAATCTTAAAATTTTACAGTCATTTCATATTCTGATTCAAATAATTATTATTCTTATAAACTTTTTAAATCATCAACTACAACTTAAATGTTTTCTTATTTATTTTTAATTATTTTAAATTCAAGTTACCTTCCAAATAGATCTATATCTTAAAAATACATAATGTTTTTTAAGAATAATTTATTATTATATTTATACCTAAAACTTTACAAAATGTTTATTTTAAATCAATCAAGCAAGTTCTTCTTGAAAACTCAAATTTAATGAATTTTTGCAATTAAACAAATGTAAATTTAACTGAAACTTTATCTTGTGGATTATCTTATTTACTTTTATTTGTTTCTTTTTAACTTAAATATTGCATTTTTTATCAAAAAAATATTAATTTATCTTTTATTTTCTTTAAAATTTTTATTTTAATTTTTTATGTTATTATAATAATCTAAAAAAAAAAAATTATTTACAAAATAAAAAAATGAACATGCAAATCAAAAATATATTTAAAAATTACTTAGAAAAATCACAAAAAGCATAATATTATAATTTTTCCCATAAAAAAAAATATGATGTAATAGTAATAGGAGGAGGTCATGCAGGTTGTGAAGCAGCATATGGTAAATCAAACAAAAAATCAAACAATAAATATAACAATAAAGCCTCAGCAAGGACAGGATCCGAAACACTATTAATAACATAAAAGATATAAACAATTGGTGAAATGAGTTGTAATGTATTATTTTTATTAAAAAAAAACTAAATTTTTATTTAATAAAAAAAAAAAAGCCTTCAATGGGTGGTATAGGCAAAGGAACATTAATCCGTGAAATAGACGCTTTAGGCGGTTTAATGGGTAAAATTGCAGATTTATCAAGTACATAATTTAAAGTATTAAATGCCACCAAAGGTGCAGCAGTATAAGGACCTCGTGCTTTAATATAAAGAGACGAATATAAAAAAAACATCCAAAATCATTTATAATCTTAAAAAAATTTACAAATAATAGAAAAATCGTAAAAAAAATAAAATAAAAAATTAAAAAATAATAATAAATTAAAAATTAGTTGCGAAGAACTACTTATAGATAAATAAAATACTATATAAGGAATAAAAACAGGTGAAAATAATGAAATATTATCCCAAAAAGTAATTTTGACAACTGGTACATTTCTAGGAGCAATATGTCATATTGGTCCTAAAAAATATCCAGCCGGAAGACACCTAAGAAACTCTCAAGAAATCGAATAACCTTCAAATAATTTATCTTAAGTCTTAAAAAACTATAATTTTGAAATAAATAGATATAAAACATCCACTCCACCTCGTTTAAATGCAAAAACTATTGATTTTACAAATCTAAATGCCATATAAGGTGATTAATAAATATCTCCATTTAATTATGTACATGAATTTTGGGGATATAAGCCAATATTAAAATAATTGGAGTCTTATTTGGTACATACAAATGAATAAACTCATCAAAAAATAATCAAAAATCAACATCTTTAGCCTGTTTTTGAAGCCGAGGAAGGAAAAGGTTTAGGTCCAAGATATTGTCCATCTTTGGAAAAAAAAGTAGAGAGATTTTTTGATAAAAAAAGGCACCAAATTTGGCTTGAAAAAGAAGATTATGAAAATAAAATTGTCTATCCGAACGGATTCAATATATCCTTACCTGCCGATGTCTAATAGGATATACTTAATTCAATCAAAGGCTTGGAAAAATGTGAAATTTTAAATCCAGGGTATGCCGTAGAGTATGATTTTGTGAATCCATAGGAGCTAAAAAAGACACTAGAAACTAAAAAAATAAACGGATTATACCTCGCAGGTCAAATTAATGGTACTACAGGTTACGAAGAAGCCGCCTGTTAGGGAATTATAGCTGGAATAAATGCCGGAAGAAGTATTTAAGGCGAGAAAAGTTTCATTTTGGAAAGATCAGAAGCTTTTATAGGAGTTTTAATTGATGATTTAATCACTTTAGGAATTTCTGAACCTTACCGCATGTTTACTTCAAGGTCAGAGTTCAGGCTTTTTTTAAGAGCTGAAAATTCCGACTTTCGATTAAGCGAAAAAGCATTGGAAATAGGAATTTTGGATAAGGAATAGAAGTATGTTTATGAATAAAAAAAAAAAAAGAAAAATCTCGGAATGCGTATGTTAAAATCTATAAAGGAAAAAGTGAAATACTGGGGTATTTAAACTGAAAAAAACGATATTTTAAGTGCTGAAGAATGCGTAAGTAAATATTAAATGAAAATACAAGATTTAGAAGAAATATTAGGAAAGTAAATTGTAGATAAAGAAGTTAAATAACACATAGAAACAGAACTTAAATATTCGACATATTTAGAAAAATAAAATTAAGTATTTTTAAAATTAAATAAATATAAATATATATAAATAAATAAATATATATATTTATATATATATATATATATATATTTATGCAGGAAATATAAAAATTTTTATGTAACTAATCTAATCTTGATATTTCAGGTTTAAATTTATAATTAATAAGTAAAAATTGTACAAAAGAAGAAGTTGAATTATTAATTAAACATAAACCTTAAACTATTTACAATGCAATTAGGATAAAAGGAATCAGATCTGCAACAATAATGTAAATTATATATTAAGTTAAATAAAATTAGTTATGTTTTTGAGAAAGATATTAAAATCAAATATTTTAAAAATAAATATCTGCATTATAATTATTATATTTATTAATATATATTAATCATAAATTCTTATGTATATTTTATCTTAAAATATTTCTCTAAACTATTTTATAACTAATTTTGTTAAAAAATTATTTATTTCATATTTATTTTTAAATATCCAATACATTTAAATATTCTTACTTAATCCATGAACTTTCTTTATTTTTACGTTAAAATATTATTATTTCTATTTCTTTTTTTATTTCTATTTTTGTTTCTATTTCTATTTCTATTTCTATTTCTATTTCTTTTTTGTTTCTATTTCTATTTTTAATTTATTTCTATTTTAATTTATATTTATATTTCTATTTTTATTTATTTTTATTTTTTATATACATTTCTATTTCTATATATATATATATTTTTTTTTTGTATTAAGTTTTTTCTATAATTTACAAAGTTTAGTAGCTTGAAAGGGAATTATTAGTCTTTTACATTATTATTGGGAGTATTATTATAAATATAATTATAAGCATCTTATTTTAATAATTAAGATTGAGGTTTTGATTTAAATTATTAATAAGTAAATTAAAAATTATTTACAAAAAATATATTTAAAGTATTAATTTTTTTACTTTTATTTAAATTAATTACTTATTAAACAATGTATTGTTAATTATATTGACTAGAGAGTTTTATAAGATAATTTTAAAATATTACAAATGTTTAGTAATTAATTTCTTAATTTTTTTATTCTTCATATTGAATTTTCAATTATCTATTATCTAATTTTTTTTTATAAAAAATTTATAAATATTTTTTATTTCAAGTAATTAAAATCTTTTTTTTATTCCACTTCATAAATTAATTACAGCTTTAAAAGAAGTGTACTCTAAGTTTAGTTTATTCTTTTTGAAATTTCCTCCAAAATGTCATAAGCCTATCAAATATTTACTTTTTTCAAATTATATAAAGTTTATTTAGAATTTCTTTTGGCAATTGTATTATTATTTTAACTTCTCCGTTTTTTTATGAAACATTAATACCAATTTCAAATATTTTTTCATTAAATATTATTTCATTCAATTCATATATTTCTTAAATCAAATAATATATTACCATGTAAATGATCAAAAAATACAAATCTTTTCAAAAAATCAATACTTTCAGATATTAATTAATTTTATAAATTCATAAAACCTAAAATATGTTCGAAATTATTTCTACTTAAGCTTATTTAATAAGTCTCTTATTCTTTTTATTTATAAATCTAGAAATTTTTTATCTTTTTTTAATAATTTTTTTTATTTTATTTTAAATTAAAAAATATCTTCTTAAATTTATCAATTATAATATTTCAACAAATAAATAATATCCACGATATATAATTTTCAAATTTTATTATTTATATTTAATAATCAAAAATAGTCTCTGATTAGATCTAATTAGATAATCTTTAACATAGGGAATCACAGAAAAGACTACTTCTTTCAAAATAATATAAAATATTTAATATTAATCAATTTTTAATAAAATAATAATAATTTAATATATTAAAATTATTAATTTTATAGCAAAAACCATAAGGTTTATTTTTGACTTTTATATTATATTATAAATTTCTTATCCCTTTTTTAAATTATAAAATATAAATTTTTAAATTATTTATTTAACAAAATTTTCATTAATAAATATAATAAAATAAAATATATAATTAATAAAAATATTTAAAATAAATTTTATATTAGAATATTGTATTTATTATTATAATAAATATATTACTTATTTTAATATAATACACTTTATATTATAAAAATAAATAAATATCCAATATTACACAAGTTAAAAATATAATATATATTCTTTCGATTATTTGTTAATAAATAGTTAAATTTTAGGCAAGTAGATTTATATTTAATAGCTATTTTTTTGAATAACAAATTAAAATATTAACTAATTATTATAAAAAAAATTAATATTGTTTTTTATGTGAATTTAAAAATTAATTGTAATTCTTTTTAAAGATAAATATTACTTTGAGTAATTTATTTTATATAAAAGTTAATAAAAAACTAAATAATAAAAAGCTAAATAATAAAAAATAAAATATAATAAAATAAATCTACTAATTGATTATTTTAAAACTATTTTTATAAAAATAGATTTAAAATTTGGATATCTTTATGATTATTACATATTATTTTTAATTAATTAGGCAAACTTATTAATATTTTAAAATAAAAATAATATATAATTAATATAAAAAAATATATATATTTACAAAAATCGTATTATTAAATAAAAATATATCATTTAAAGATAAAAATATATATATCAATAACAAATAAAAATATACTTTCATTTTATTTTAAAAAAATAATTTACTCATTAAAATACTTAAATAATTTAAATTAATTCTTAAATTTATAAATAAATAAATTTTATTTTATCAATTTAGAATATTCTAATCAAAAAATTAATTTAATAATTAATTATTGTTTAAGAATATTCTAGATCATTAAAATTTTGATATACTTCTAATTATATTGATCATTTTCTTTATAATTTCATAAATAATATTTTTAAAAAAATTCTGCAAAATAAATAATATTTTCTTTATTTAATTTTTTTCTCCAAAATAAAATTGTATATAAATAAATTAAAAACTAAATTAATAACTTAAAAAATAAAAAAAATAATAATATTTTAAACAAAAAATAATTTCACAAAAAAATAAAAAAAAATGGAATTTGAACAAGATATTCAAAAAGCTGAAGAGTTTAAAGAAAAAGGAAACGATCTTTTCAAAAAAAAAGAATATTTAAAAGCTATTGAATAATACACAAATGCATTATGTAATACTTTAAAAAAAAATAAAAAAAAAAATGATAAATTTATTAAAATAAAAAAGAATACAATAATTAAAACTCAAGTTATTACGGAAACCGAGCTGCATGTTATTTAGCATTAGAAAAATACTAAAAATGTATCCAAGACTGTAATATAGCTTTAGAACTGGACCCTAAATTCTCTAAAGCTTACCGAAGAAAAGCTTTATGTTAAATACAAATGTTAGCTTTCTAAGATGCTTTATTCAATATAGAAAAGGGATTACAAATAGATAATTAAGATCAAAGTTTGAGACAAGATTAAAAAGACTGTTTAAGATTGAAATAATAATATGAACATTTTAACAATTACATGAACGAAAATAACTTTAATGAAGCAAACATAGAGCTTAACTAAATTTTATAAAAAATATAAAATAATATCTAATTAAAACTTAAACAAGTTGAATGTCTTGCAATGAAAGGAGAAACTGATCAAGCCAAAAATATTTTGGTCAAAATTCAAAACCATGAAGATGTTAGAAGACCCGATTTATGTTATTTATAAGGAATTTGTGAATTATACAATGGAAATACGTAAATTTTATTAAATAAATATATTTTCTTTACAAAATATATTGAATTTTTAATCAAATAGTGATAAAGCTAAAACACTTTTCAAAAACGGAATGACCTTAGATCCTGATAATACAAAATGTAGAACAGCATTAAAAAAAGCCCAAAGAGCTGAACAACTAAAAGAGTAAGGAAATGAAGCTATAAAATAAGAAAACTATGATGAATCAATTAGGCATTACGATGAGGCTTTATAAATAGACCCAAATAATAAAAAACTAAATGCAGTCTTGAGATCAAATAGAGCATTAGCTTGGGTTAAAAAGAAAGAATATAAAAAGGCTATGGAAGACACTAATATAGCTATAGATTTAAATCCTTAATATTTTAGAGCTTTTTTACGAAGAGCTGATATTAAAATGAAGATGGGAGATTTTGATTCCGCAATATAAGATTATTAGAGAGTATCGGAATTGGACCCTAGCTAAAACGTATAATAATTAATAAAAGAAGCTAAAATATAAGCAAAATAAGCAAAGAAAAAAGACTATTATAAGATTTTGGGGGTTGAAAGAAATGCTTCAGATTAGGAAATAAAAAAAGCATATAGAAAATTAGCCCTTAAATGGCATCCGGATAAAAACCCAGAAAATAAAGAAGAAGCTGATAAAATTTTTAGAGATATTAATGAGGCTTTCTAAGTATTAAGTGATCCCAAAAAAAATAAATGTTCGATTCTGGAGCTGATCCTAATGATCATGAAAGTGGAGGTTTTGGAGGAGCAGGTATTTTAATTTTCTTAATTTTGTTTTTTATTTATATATTATTATTTTTTTAGATTTTGATCCTTAAGAAATCTTTAAAATGTTTTTCGGTGGAGGTGGTGGTATGAGTGGAATGGGAGGTATGGGCGGAATGGGAGGAATGCCCAGCTTCTTTTAAAGTGGTAGTGGAGGAAGATAAGGTAATGGTGGTGGTAGAGGAGGGTTTCCTGGTGGATTTACTTTTACTTTTGGTTGAAGATATTTTTGTCTTTTTTTTTTTTATTTTAAATATATATATATATATTTTTTATCTTTATTTATTTATTAATTATTTAATAATTAATACATATAAAAATAAAAAAATATTTTAATTTTAAAAATTTTATCAATATATATATATAAATTAAAATTTAGTATAAATTAAATTTATAATTTTTTTTTAAAAAAAAATATAAATAAAATATAAACATAAATATATATATATTTAATTTTTTTTTTAAAAAAAAAAATATTATATTAATTATTATATATATAAATATTATATTTATATAGTAAATTTATATTTTTATTTAATTAACAAATCATTTTTAAATTAATATTTAATTTTTATAAAAAAATAAAACTTTTTTTTTTTTAATCCAGAAATAAAATATATCTTCTTAAAAAAATAAAAAAATAAAACTAATTTATTAATATAATATTTTTAATAAAAAAAAAATTTAAAATCAATATTATTAATAATCCATTTTATTTTCTTAAAAAAAAAAAAAAAAGTAAATAAAAAACATTTCAATATAACTTTTAAAAAATATTAAAACTAAAACTCTCATAAACAAAATAACTAAAAATATAAATGGAAAAAAATACACCTATTTAAAACTTCTAAGAATCTCCTTAAATAAATAAACTCTAAACGTTCTAAACTTTGGAAAACTCTAACAAAAATACTGACTATTCTCAATAAAATATGCATAACTTCTCAATTTCAAATCATTCAAACTAAAATAGTAGTGAATATGAAGATTGGAACCTCGATATAGAAAGCTCCAACGAGGAATACTGTTTAGAAATCCCTAAAAATAATTAATGGTAAGATATATGTTATGGAACTAATTTTTATTCCATTGCTTCCTTAGAAGGAAAAAAACAAGAAATGCAAGACAGAGTAAATATAGATTATAAATTTTAATAATATTCATTTTTATTCAATTTTTTTTTTATATATAAACAATTTTAATATTAAAATTGTAACTTAAATAAAAATTATAAACATAATATATAAAAAATAAGAATAATATATATAATAAAAAATTCATATAATAAAAAAATATTATAATTTATTCACCATTTATTTAATTATATAAAAAAAATAATATTTAAATTATTAAATATATATTTTTATTATATTGATTAAATATATGTATTTTTTACCTATAATTTATATTAATTTTTTTATAATTCTTTAGTTTTTTATTGATATACACAATTTATTCTTTGCTGTATTTGATGGACATAAAGACGATTCTATTGCTTAATTTTTATAATAGAACCTTAAAAATTACATTTTTAATCATCCTTTATTCCCAGAAAATATCCAACTTGCAATAAAACAAAGTAAACATTTAATTAAACAAAAATTATAAATATTTTATTTTTTTAATTTAAATATTTATTATTTTTTAAAATAAAAGAAAAAAAAATAAAAAATTATGATATAAAATAATATTTATATAAATTTATAATATATATTTTAATTAAGTTATATTTTTTATATATTTATATTTATATAATTATATAAAAGGCTTTATTTAAATAGATGAATACCTATCTTAATAAAGTGAATTCTAAAATTCAGGCTGTGTATGTGCTTGTGCATTTATTTACAAAAACAATCTCTATATTGCTAACTTAGGCGATTGTAGAGCTACTTTATTTACTAAAAATGGAAAACTTATAAATTTAACAAGTGACCATACACCAGAAAACAGATAAGATGAAATTGATAGGATAAATAAATAAAATGGCTTTTTCTTCGAAGTACATAATTAATTAAGACTTTTCGGAGAGTTGAATGTCACAAGGTCTTTTGGAGATTTTTAATATAAAAAATATATCCTGAATGAACCAGAAATATAAATATATTCATTAAAAGACCTTCAAAATCTAATAGAAAATAAAGATTTCTTCCTTGTTTTGGCATCTGATGGACTTTGGAATGTAATACATATTTTTTAAAATATTAAATATTAATTTTTTTAATTATTAACAGTATTGGAATTAATAAGAGTCAATTAATATTTGTAATGAAGGATTTATTGAATTTCCGAGAAAAGCTGTAGAACAAGTGTATGAAAATAATAATTGTTTTAAGGATGATATAACTATAATGTCTATAAATTTAAATAAAATACTATAATAATGAATAATTTAGAATAAATTAAAATAATTAAAATTGTATATATTATTATATATACATTATTACTGATATAAATTATTTAAAATATATGTATATTTATGCATATATATATATATAATTACTATTTATTTAATTTCAATATATATTTAATTAGAATAATTTATATTTTTATGTATTGTTTTTTATTAAATAAAATTTATTCTTAAATATTTTTCTTTTAATAAAATTAATTATTTTATTTATTCTAAAATATAACATAAAAATATTAATAATTTTTTAATAATAAAATATAGAAAAATACATAATTATTATATTAAAATTAAAATCATTTTCTTATAGATTAATATAAAATACTTAAATAAACTAAAGCAAATAAAAAAAATGAAATTATATTTTAATGATATATTTTTAATAATAATTAAATTAAAATTTACGGATGTTAATATAAAAATATAATTTAAGGGCTGTTGCTTTTTGCTCTTTTTTCAATAAAATAATAATAATTTAATTAATAATGTTTTCATATAAAATATTAAAAATAAAATAAAAAAAATTGCAATTATAAATAAAACTTAAATTAGTTTTAAATTTGCTTTAGTACTTTTATAATAAATTTGAATCAAACTTTAATAAATATATATTTAAATTAACAAAAATTATAAAAAAATATAATAGACAATAGAAGATTTGATGATAGATAATTTTTGTTCAAGAAAAGATTGCTAAAAGTTTCTATATATATATTTCAAATAAATATAAAGTAATGTGATATTTTTCTAAGATCATTAAATAATTCTTAATAATAAAAATAAATATTTATAATTTCAAATACATAAAAACAATGATTTAAAAAAAAATATGGTGATTTACATAAAGAAATTTAAAAAATAATAGAAAAATTTAAACAAAAATCATAACTAAAAATTTTTAAAAAAAATTGGAAGAAAAGAATAAAAATAATAAAATCTGTTTTAGAAACATCTATGATAAGAATTAATAAAGTATTCATAAATATAAGTAATCAAATAAACTTATATTATTATTTAAAACCTAATAACTTATAAATAAATGTTTCATATAAATTTTTATTTATAATATATTTTTCAAAAAGAGAACTGGAATAATATAAAACTTTTATACAAACAAATCCCTTTATTATGATTTAGTAAATTTTTTAAATCATTTTTAATTTTAGATTTTATATTTATAATGTGATTATTATTTTTTATAATATAAATTAAGAATAATTTTTTTATTCCTTTATAATTAAATAGTCATTAAATTATTATT